AATTCAAACCCAAATCGAAGACCTTCACGTGCTTCAAATGTGGAAAGGAAGGCCATCGGGCGGCAGAATGTTTCTCCAAGTCAGTGCCAAAATCTACCAGCTCAGGCCCAAAGAAGGCCGACAAAGCACCCACAAAAGCTCGCGAAACCGCCCTGAAGGGAGAAGTCGTTGAGTTCGCTCCCCGAAACCAGGGTGAGTTGGGAACTCTGACCACCACGGATGACAGCGGGACGGACTCCGACTCTGACTTCGATGATCTGGTGAGTCACACTGAGGGCCCCATACTCATCCCCATAGAAATAAGGGTGCCATCCACAAGGGCACATGCGCAGATGTTAGCCCTATTAGACTCTGGGTGCACCAGGTGCATAATCAGCCCAAAAGTGGTGGAGAAAATGGGCCTGAGGCTAAAAACGTTAAAAAGGTCCATTGCGTTCTGTCAGTTGGACAGATCGATTGCAGGAAGGGGCCCAGCCAGTTTTGTAACTGAACCAATTGAAATGCAATTGGGGGATCACGTAGACACCCTCAGGTTTATTGTGGCCCCTGGCATGGAACAACCCTTCATTCTTGGACTGTCCTGGCTCCATAGATGGAACCCACGTGTTAACTGGAAGACGGGGGTTTTGCGCATTCACACTGGAAACCCGAGACTAGAGAGGAAAGAAACCCCCCTGGAGGATGGAGTAGAACACAAAAGGGCGGAAGTGGCAATAGGCCACATCGAAGGGGAGGAGAAGATTCCAAAGGAGTATTGGGATCTCCGAGAAGTTTTTAGTGAAAGGGCTTCAGATGTGCTGTCCCCCCCCCCCACAGAGCTACGGACTGTACCATTGAAATACTCCCCGGGGTGAAGCTCCCTAAGCCAAAGATCTATCCCATGACCCCTCGAGAACTAGGTGAATTGTGAAACTTCATTGATAAAAACCTAGAACGGGGTTTTAACCAACCAGCCAGACCAAGGGTGGTGGCACCGGTACTGTTCAGGAAAAGAAAGATGGCTCCTTTCGTTTGGTAGTTGATTATAGGAATCTCAACGCCATTTGCATGGAAAACGTCTACCCCCTGCCGCTCATGAAGGACGTGCTAGCACACTTAGGAAAGGGGAAAATCTTCACCAAACTTGACTTACAAGAGGCATACTACAGAATGAGAATTAAGGAGGGGGATGAATGGAAAATGGCATTTAACTGCCCACTGGGATGTTTCCAGTTTTGAGTGCTCCCTTTTGGACTACAAGGAGCCCCTGCTGTGTTCATGCAATTGCTTAATGAAGTACTGCATGAGCACCTGTATAAGGGGGTGCTGGTCTACTTGGATGACATTCATACCTACTCTGAGAACATGGACGACCATGTGAAATTGGTGCGAACTGTCCTGAAAAAACTCAGGGCTGCTGAACTATATGCCAAGCTCTCTAAGTTCGAGTTCCACCAAAGCAAAATTGACTATCTTGGATATCGCATATCGCATGAGGGAATAGAGATGGACCCTGGAAAAGTTAAGCTTAAGCTACCGGACTGTATCTTTGAAGCTGCTAACGGGTCAATGGTCGTGGCATTCCTGATTGATGATGCTGCCAAATGTGTGCTTTCACCTGACCCCTGGGAGACCTTTGGATTGGATGATTTATGGTGGACAGTGGGAGGGGATGCTTTCTATATGCAATTTTCATGCTTTTTGCCTCAGATTCTGCTTTTCCTTGGTTGCGATCACTTCATTTTTTTAGTAAAAGTACCTTTCTCTATAAACAATGGAGTTTGGGTCATTCTTTCCTGGACTTTGAAGGAAGCATACCTGATAGATGTACAGAAAGGAACCAGACCCTACCACAGGCACAAATACAAGACAGCACAGGAAAAGACTCAAACCCAAGAAGAGATAGTGGACATTTACCTGAAGTCCGGGAGGAAGAGCCGAACACCAGTAACAGTCCACCATGTTGTCCAGGGGAGGAAGGAAGTAACATCCAAGGAAATAAATCCACACCAGCGAGCGAGTTCGAGAGAGTTCCGGAGGCAGAGCCAGCAGAGCCACAGAACTTGACCTGTCACCCCAAGAATGCTGGGACGAGTGATCTGCGCAGGTCTAATTGCACATCGAGACGACCAGCCTACTTACGTGACTACGTAGCCTAGAGACTTCAGAATTGATTATGCTAACTAGAGGGGAGGGGTGTTGAGTATTGAATGGCAGATTTGAACGGACCAATCAGGAACGGGAGCGGGAAATTCAGAGTAACGTCAGTGGCTGAAGCCGCGGACAGCTCCTAGCTATAAAAGGAGCTGTCATGGCCAGCAATTGCCATTGCGATTTACGGAGCTAATAAAAGTGTTTGATTGTACTGCATGTCCGATCCTTCTTGTGCCCACGATTTAACAAATTCCACCAGTGAGACAGCATCTTGATTGGACCATGTGACTGACTGATTGGGGTTGTGGGAAAACTTTCTCTTTTAATTAGGTGAAAACCATGGGAACCTTCAGAGTCGTTTTTCTCCAGATCTATGCCAATATGATATTTCCAATGAAGCTATTCTTTGAGGAATTCATCTGCTTCGGAGTTTTGCTTGATATGGGATTATTACTTGGAACCCTGACAACAACTATGTAATACAAGCCACTCTAGTAGGTCTCAAGAACTGCCCATGCAGCCACATATTGCACCAGTTGTAGCTTACAAACACTCTTCAAAGGTAGCCCTGTGTAGACTGCACAGCAATAATCTAAGTATGAGCTAACTAGTGTATAGACCAATGTTCTTAAAGAGAATTTTTGCAGCAGTAGAGCTACAAAAGTAGTTTTATTCATTCTCTGTTAAAAATTTCTGGATATTTAATATGAAATTATTTTTTTTCAAGGCCTGCAATGGTGGAGAAGAACAAATCACATAAAATTGATGTTAATCTGTTTTAATGAGGATTTTCTGTTCAGCTAAGAAGTTGCCTTGGATAAATCATACTTTCCCTCAAGAGTAAACTAATTTCCAAGAAATGATGTGATAAACTAATTCCAGTCTAGCTCTCTGAAATACATTAATATGTAAAAGTAGGGTGCTTTGTCTGACATGGTTTATGATGGATATTCTTTCTCTTATCAGTCAGGATCAGAATTTTAAAAAAGGCTTTGGAATAAATATAAAAAGAGCTTGGAATAAATATAAAACAAGGCTCCTATAAAGCTGCCCCTTTGGGTGTCACCACAGGAAGCTTTTTTAAGAAAAGAAATGGTGGCAAAGCCAAATTGGTTGATGTATGGTAAAATTTTATCTTTTAATTCTGGTGACCCAATACTAAAGCCAAGGGAAAAACTCAAATCAGAAGGTTACGCTTACCATTGGTTTATTTATCAGCAACTGAAAGAAAGATTCAAATTGGATGAAAAGTGCTATGGATTTCACTTTGTTAAAAATGAACTAAAATTTTCATTATGTGGCAACGATGAATGTGTTATTGCTAAGATTTATAAAATGTTATTGAAATTGAATTTGGAAAATGAACATGTATGTGAATGAAGTGTTTAAAATTTACATTAAGTTATAATCTAAAAAAGAATTTCTATAAAATGATGTATCATTGGTATTTAACACCAGGTAAGTTTTCTAGAATGTATAAAGGCATGTCAAATGAATGTTGGAAGTGTAAAAATAAAGAAGGGACTTTTTATCATCTATGGTGGACATTTGATAAAACAAAAAAATTTTTGGAGTATGATTCATATTTTAATACAGAAAATTCTGAAAACGGAGATAAAAATGAAACCAGAACTTTTCCTTTTGGGTCTAATGGAAAGAGAAATGGAGAAAAAAATTGGAACTTTGTTACTATATATGTTGACAGCAGCAAGACTATTGTACGTGCAAAAATGGAAGGTCACTTTGATTCCTACCACGGAAGAATGGTTGCAGAAGTTGATGGAGTTGGCTGAAATGGCAAAACTGACTACTTTGATTAAAGAAAAGAACATAAGTACTTTTGTTTCCATTTGGAAACTGCTTCTGAACTTTGTGCTTGATGTGGAAAAGAATGAAACTGACTTTGGGTTTTACAGATTAGATTGATAGATTTTTATAGAAATGACTTGTTCATACTATTATGGAAAATAGAAAGCTGTGATTTGATGTTAATGCCTTATTTTACTGTAACAGAGAGAATTGGAAGTCAATGCTTCTTTTTCTTCCCCCCCCCCCCCATCTTTCCTTCCCCACTTCTCCCTCCCCCCATCACTGCTCTTCTATTTACTTTTGTATTTTATAATACTATATCCTAATAAAAATGTTTTTTTTTTTGAAAAGAATTTTAAAAAGGCAAATAATATGCATGAATCTATCTTGGCTGATGATAGCCAGCTAAATTAATGAAAACCAATAGAGAACTTTTGGTTTTCATGAACCTAAGAGTTAGAACAAAGAATGCCTGGCTTAAAAGCAGTTATTATTGGAGGAGCTGTCTGTCCAGAACTTCATGCAGAACAGTAAAAATCAACTGAAGCACATGAAACCAAGATGTATCTTATCCAAAGGGATAACATATTTTAGTGCTTGAGACGGAATGCCATGAGAGGTTCTCCCTACTACTAGAAAAGTCTGTGCTGCTTTTTTTTTTTTTGTGATATCCCAAATTTGCTACCTGAAATAACCTCACTGCCCAACAGAAGTACTAGTCAAATCTCTTTTCTTAATGATTTTCAATCTCTGCTCTTCTGAGATTCTTTGAAACACTTCTTTCTCAAAGAAATATGCTGAACACATGATTTGTGCTAGTTTTATATAATAAATTGGATATACCTTGCAATATGTATAAGGTTTACTTCTGTAGTGCTTGGGAAAAAAACCCTACACATCAAAAATGACTAAAAATGATATACCTACACAATGTATATTTTAATTTGCTGTATTCTTTTAAGAGTGTATCTCTGTATAATAATAGTGATCCTTTATATGTGAATATGAACACACACACACACAAACACAGAGAGAAAACATTAAGAAAAAGGTTCGTATTTCTCCAAGCTAAAATTGTTTAATTACCTATGCGAATATTTAAAATCTGAAAATAAATAAAAATATTATTATCAAATTGAGCTATTTCAATCGTGAAACAATAGTTTGAAACAATAGTTTGAATTCTATGATGGCAATCATTTTACATAGTTTCCTCTAATTTCAAATAAATGATTTCATTTTAGAAATAAACTATCAGAGTGCTCTAATTGTTGGAGAACTTTCAGACAAACCATGACATTTATTAGAAAGAAATACAACATAGAAACATTTATTAAAACAAACTGCTCAGATGATTATCTTACTTTTCTCCAACTAGATTCAACAGACTTTCAACAAAGGTTTGACATTTAGAGCAGAGACAGGAGGCATAAGTTGCTGACTTAATTATTTTTAACTTTATTTGCTTCCTTTCCCCAGAGCAGTTTAAACATTAATTTTTCCTGTAAAAGCAGAAAGAGGATGCCATATTCTCATTTTGTTCTTTTTGAGCAAACAGAAAATGCCAATTAACTAAAAGAAGTCAACAGTTGTCATTCCTTGAGTGTGGTACACTCCGCACTTCCAGCCAATTAGTATCACACATAACAGAACAACATCAGGAATTGTCAGATCAACGAAGATGAAAACTCGGTTTATCTTATCAGTAAAAAAGACACATTGTGGCAGTTGTTTATAGTCTTCTTTATGCACTATTTATGGGTAAATGTGTTTTACCCATAAATAGACAACAAACAAAAAATCTTTCCTAAATGTATTCTAACATTGCACAAGATTGCAAGATGATTTTGGAAAAGACAGTCTAATCCTAATTCTTCAAATTCTAATGCATATCTATGCCCAGCTAAACAATTTATTCAAATTTATTGTGCAGGATTTTCAATGAGGAAAAGTTCATTTCTGAACTTGCCAGCAATCCTTTTATGGATTCCTAATTGGCATTCTTCTATGAAGCACATGTATTACAATCTCAATAAAAACTCAGATGTATGCAATTGAGTCACTTTGAATTTCATCCTTAATGTAGTACCAGAAAAATATAGTAAATATGTAGTTATATTTTGGAAAACTATATGTACAGCAGAAGGCATGGGAAGCAAAGGTCCTACACATATGCCATTCTTCAATTAATATTAAGACTCTGTTTGTGTGATCTTAGCAACTAAATCATAATTCTTCAACAGGCAGAATTACATTCAAATACTATTACCGCAAATAAGCTGGATAGGAGTTAGTATCAGCTTCAGGTATAGTACAATGGGTATTCAAAAACATCCTATACTGTAGATATTACTGCATGCTTTTCTGCACTGCATTCAATTGCCCTAATCTAATTTAATTTGATTTAGGAAATGGGAATTTGGGAGATGAAAATATTTCTCCCATTTTTAAAGTTTCATTTTGTTCACCTGAAAAATCCATTTCATACATAAAACAGAATGTTTGCTAAAAAGTGCTCCCCAGTAAAATGAATAGGACATCCCAAACATGGGAGAGAATCCATATCTACATGTTATTGTTGTGAAAGAGGGTAAGTTAAGATAAATTTGATATTATAATATGTCACCTTTGCTAAATTAGTTTCAGAGATGCCTTCACATTTTTATTAAAACATGTTGAGACATAGTTGTGAATTAGCCTTTATGTTTTTAGTTAGCGAAGTTTTTGTTTTGATACTCATTCTTAGTAAAACTATAAGTTCAAGTTTTCAGTTTTGTTGTAGATTTTTGAATGAATGGCTTTTTGTAAATGTGAAAGTATAACAATATACTATAACAATGAATACTTATAAACAAAACAAGAGTTGAAGTAAAAAAAAAATAGAGCATGCTTTATACTGGCAGTCCTATATATATATACTTAAAAACAAGCCCCCTTACATTCAGTATGCCTTATTCCTTTATATTATATATAAGTATATACTTATATATAAATATATAAGTATATTTAGGATAGCAGCATTACATATTTTTGCCACAGAAATCTGCATATAATTCAATGACCCAGTGATGTTGCTTATGCATTTTTGATAATAAAGCCTCAGTATTGTATTTTTCCTGTGCCATGAAGGTGGGATGAAGCACAAGAGCAATGCATGGCATCTCATTCTTGCACTCCGCAAATTTCTTCAAGATACTAGACAAACACTCTCTTTTTGCTAGCATTATCATAAAATACTAGATAAATGCCAAAATAAGATACTGCTCTTCTGCTTTGGTAAAACTATTCTTAGTACTAGAAGCATATTTAAATCAAAAGAGCTACTAACCTAGACTCTTGTTGATCAGCTATGATTTGCAATGCTAAATGTAGGCTGCATAATCAACTCTTTCAGCTTAGTGCAAAACTGTATGTGCTTTTATTTATTTTACAAAATAAAAATGAAATGTATAGGTTCTGGAGTTCAGCAAATTATATGCTTTTCAGGCCAGCTTGTTGGCTTTGCTCCAGGAAAAAAAAAGGTGGTACTCATATTTTTTTAGAATTAATTTCTTTCTGGTGATTTCTGAGCTTATTGGTCTTCTTGGAACTGGTGAACAAAGGATTGCTTTTCTTTAAGTTTTGTTTTGGTATCCCAATGTGACCAGAGTTTCTGGAATTCAGCTTTCTATTAGAGGCTGCTTGTAGTTTCTGTTCTTGAAGTCTCTGTTCCCATCGCTAGGAAACATAATGTAAAATAAGGTTAGCATTAAAAAAACTTTGGTTGGACGCTTGCAGTGGCATTTTGGATAGGATGGTGGCAGCGACGGGGGCTAGCAAGGCTTCCCGGAATGCTCCCTGGCTCTTCTCCAAAGTGCCTTTCCCCTGCTCCGAATGCTGCCTTTCACTGCCCAGTTCCAGTGGGGCAGGCAGAGTTTAATACCTGCCCCCAGGGAGCAGACCGAGGGGGAGCTGGAGTGGCCAGATTCCTTCCAGGAGACCCTCACAATAAAGAGGGCCCATTGCCCCTACTTCACCTGTCGGGTGGCAGTGAGGCATTGTCACCGGTAGGAAACCCCCCCCCCAAAACCTCTGGCCCTGTGGATGTCACCTCTGCTGTGGACAGGCTTGCATGGCGGTGGCAGGAGCCTGCACTAAGGATGGTTTTCCTCCTCCCCGCTCAAGAAAAGGGTTTTGGCATAGCATTCTGAAAAAGCAGCATTGTAGATTTTAAGTTTTTTTAATTGGAAAATGGAAAATGGGAGCACATCTCCCGTGCTCCCCTATCCCCTATCCCCTTGGTTTCAGATTTAGGCTGTGGGCTTCCCGATCAAAAGCAGAGCTGAGGGCAAACCAGCCTTAATTTAAATAGCCAAATTGGGGGCAGGGAGGGGGAGGGGGGAGAGAGGCAGCACTTTCTGGGATGGCAGGCCTGTCTAGTAATTCCTCATTTCCCCTTCTCCCACTAACTAAGAGGGCAGGCAGGCTACTATACGTGGTAGTCTAGCTCAGCCCAGGAAGGCAGAGGAGGCCTTTGTGTCAGAAGGGGCTTGCCTGGGTCTCATGGCTGCTGCTTCAGCCACAATGAAACATGTTATCTTGGCAAGGGACCTATTGGGGAGGGGGCAGAGGAATCAAGCCCAGAGGAGAAGCCCCCCTTTTCCTTCTTGTCTGTTCTGGCACTGAGCAGCAGTGGAGGGAGAGCAAAAGGAGCCTGTGCTGGTTTGGGGACTTGGCCGGGGAACCGGGGAACAGTCCCAAGTATGCAGAAGGTTGCCGCTGAGGCGTGCCTGTTTCCAAGTTCTGGAGTAGACATAAACCTGCTCCTTTGCCTCTTTAAGGAGGTCCAGCTCTTGGGCTGAGTCCCTTGCCCCCCACCCACCCAAAACAAGAAGAGGCAATGGCTTCCTTGGCTTGTTCTATTTGTTGATTGTAAGCTCCTTGGGGCTGAGAAAAATTGCTGCAAAACTGAGTTTCCTGAAGAGGACCACTAGACTCCTAAACAACTTTAAAAAATGATCTAGTAAAAAGAAAAGTCAATCAAAAGGGCAACATGCAAATAAAAGCAAATAAAACACCCCCAGGAGCAAAACAAATTAAAGTTTAATTTGTATGTATTGTTTAATGGATTGCTAAATTGGCCATGCCCACCCAGTCACATGACCACCTAGCCACACCCACCCAACCAGTCCGCCACCCACCCAACCAGTCCGCCCCCCCCCCCAACAGTCTGAGGGACCGTGAATTGGCCCCGTTTAAAAAGTTTGAGGACCCCTGGAATAGATGGTCTCCTTGTACTCTTCTGGAACCCAGTTCTTGTAGCTGGTTGAACAAAAAGAAAACCATAGCCAATCCTACAAGGTAGGAATGAGCAACTTTTTCTTCTTGGTTTGGGGGCGGGACAATGGTCCATTGGTGAAGGATGGTTTACAAGTTATCTTTATGCTTTTTTTCCCCTATGAAGGTACATCAGGCTCCCAGTCAGAGGATAATTTGTTCTACATTCAAGTGTTTTAATTTGTGTTATAAAAATCATGCCATGCATATCCATTCTAGTGCACTTTATATTATTCTTTCACTTATCCAGTTTTTCTTTTAAAATAATATTTTATCAGTGGTTAGATCTAGCGAACACTTCTATATATTTTAAATACTCCATTTGTTCTTTTTATTCATGAAAATCTTAGCATATGGGCTGGGGTAGAGGTGACAATATGACTTAGGGCTAAAACTCTGTTAAATATTTTTTTCCAAAAACATATTGTCAGCGGGGGTAAAAATGGTTTTGGAGAGAAATTCCAGAAATATAAATAATTAAATACAAAAAGAAAAGGAAAAAAAATCCCCAGAACAATTGGAAAAAGAGTTGGATCAGCCTGCTAAAGAAGTGGTCATTTCAATACCTCACCCTGAAATCCTGTGGTGCAGAATGATAAACTTTAATATTGTGTTCATAACAAGAACAGTTGATTAGTATACTAACAGGACATATGCAAATATGCTCCTAGTATGACTTCTTTTAGACATGTGCTTAACTAACTAAGACACTAAGCATAACAATAACAATATCCAGTGTTGAAAATGCTTATATATCATTCCAAAATTCTGCCTATTTTTCTAATTATGTAATATCACGTATGAATGGGTTTTTTTAAATTCTATGACAATTTGTATTTCTCGATTCTTGCTTACTTTGACCCTGGGATGTAGGCTAGCATACTTCTTGCTATTGTGCATCCCATCCATTCTACATGCTTACAAGAATCTGTTCTTACCTGAAACCTTTTACTTAATGGATCCTTCCACTTTTCCACTGAGCACTCATCAAGAAGCATCAACCTAAAATAATTGCATAACTAAAAAATCAGAATAGAAATGTATACAATCTTCATCCCATTTTGGTCATGAGATTTATTACCAACAGTTTAGATAACTTTAAAATGTATAGGTAGTCCTCCACTTACAAATACAATTGAGCTCAAAATTTATGTTGCTAAGTGAGACATTTGTTAAATGAGTTTTTATATCCTTTCTTGCCATAGATATTAAGTGAATCACTGTAGTTGTTAAATTAGTAATATGTTTGTTAAATGAATATGGTTTCCTCATTGACTTTGCTTGTTAAAAGGTCACAAAAGATGATCACATGATCCCAGAACACTTCAACCATCATAAATACAAGTCAGTTGCCATGATTCTGAATTTTGATCATGTGACCATGGGGATGCTACAATGATTGTAAGTGTGAAAAATGGTCATAAGCACTTTTTTCAGTGCCGTTGTACCTTTGAATTGTCACTAAATGAACTGTTGTAAGTCAAGGATTATCTGTACTGGCCAACTTCATAGGGGATAAATTACCATTGGTTGGCTGCTTATATTACCTTATATATATAGCTTAATGTGTTTAATATCAGTTGTTATGGGAAAGAAGAAAAAAAATGTTTCTGTGCCAAACTTGTACGATTCCTGTATTTAGGGATCCCCAATAGTGGTGGATTTCTACCGGTTCGAACTGGTAATGGCAGTGGTGGGAGGCTCCGCCCACCTGCTGGACGTCATCATGGATGCTCTGCGCGTGCACAGAAGCACCACATACAAGCGAAGCGCGCACGCACGCCCACAGTTCCAAACCGGTAGCGAAGGTAAGTGGAACCCACTACTGATCCATGGACTACTGAGTCATGGCCTATTTGCAACCAGGCCATATGAGTGGCAGGCCAGTGCGTGTGCAATGTATGTGCAACTCAACTTGCACAAGTTGAGCTGCACACACATGGACGTGTGCACTGGCCTGCTGCTCACACAAGTTGAGTTGCACATGTGCGTATTATACCACCATTTGTATGCCCGGTTCACCTTTCCTCGCCACCCACCCACCCCTGGGCTGCCAAGCAGCACAGGTTGGGAACTACTGCCTCATTTGGTGATCAGGTACATAATCCAGAAAACTGGGCTAAATGTTTTTTTAACCTGATTGATCAGGACTCTTTACCTATTTTTAATTTTTATGCCCTTTGATTTCAAAGCAAGAGGAGTGAAATGGAGGCAAAACAGAATGCCTTGATGGTTTATAGCTAAAGAACTGTTCCTTTCTTTTCTTAATCCCTTAACATTAAAGTTAATAGGAGAAAGCATTAATCATACCACCTCTTGAGTAGATTCTGTCCTTGAAATGGGAAATGAGAGAGGTTTAGAACCTGGTGAACCACTGTCTCAATTGATATGTGCATGGTCCATGCATGTTTTGCTTTTAGTGCCAGAAAATCAGCAGTGAGTAAAAAAAGAATGGTAAGAGTTTTCATCAATGGAACAATAAAAGGCCTTCAATGGGCCTTTCTTTCTCTACAATGAATGGAGAAATCTATAATTTTTTAAGGCTTTGGATACTGTCACTGGGACTTACACTTTTAATTTCTTTTTAGCAATGTTCTCACCATAAATATAGTATGGTGAAATAAAAAAGAATTCCAAAACAATTTACAAAAAGGAATTCATGAAAGCAATATCCATGAAAAACATCAATATATGCAGTTTTATATTGTATTATTTTTTTTAGTAATAATAATATAGGGTATATATAGTATAGATCAATGATATTTAGAATTATTTAAAATGCATTAGTTTGCTTCATGGATGGATACTGTCTACCGGAAATTGATTCCAGAAATCATTCAGAGTGAATTGATTAGTTTATCAGGTACCTTTTGGGATCCAAAAATTGAGGCTAGATTAGATTCTAGTCCAAAGTTATTAAATAGTATTATTTGGAGATTCATGTTACTTTTGACCCAGTAGACATTTGGAATCAGGTTTGGTACAAATCTCCTCACAGCAGTGAAAGCTCAGTGTTTTATAACATATTCCATCATCATTGTTTTGCCACAAGCAAATTCTTTCTTTTTGTTCTAAGTTGCTGGGCTGTTATACAATCCAAAAAGAGTTGCTGGAATATTGTTTATTTAACAAAGTGAAACAAAGTCCTTAATCTATCAAGGAATGCTTTTAATCTTTCTTATCCTATTGTATCCAAAATATATTAAGATTACACCCAGCATTTCCAATTAGGGAACATGGTTGGGAAAGCTTGGGAAAGACCAATGGGCTTGTATATATCCTATTCAGTTGACTCATGATTGGATGTCTCAACCTTAATCTATATGTGCATCTGGGTAATATGCTGATTTGCTTGTGCAGTTCTTGAAATTTTTTTTAAAAAAGGTTTCTGTCTTATAACACAAGAAACATGCAACCTAAATCCTGCTCCAAAGGCCCTGGTTCAACTTAAGGTTTCCACATCCTTTAATCCAAGACCAAGACCCACAATGTAATCACAAAAGGAGAAATTGTGATAGAAACAAGAATGTGGTATTTCTTTCAGCACTTTTCCAAGTAAGTGACCGTTACTTTTGACATTTTTAAAAGCCACTGTAACTCAATCTCTGTTTATATATGGCTGAGTTCAATGGGAAACTCAATGTTTTGTTTTTACTGTCTTTTTCAAATCTTTTGACAAAACACATAAAATTAAAACTTCAAAGAACTTTGGAAACATCACTGCCAAGTTTGTTTCATTAAATTATAACTCTTTCTAATCCATTTCCATTCCTGAGCTTAATCTTGGAAACATTCACCCTTTTGTAATGATATTCTAAAATATCTCAAGATTAATCAACATTGTGCTTATTACTTTACCCATCACTCTCCCACTTTCCCACTTTCCCACTTCTTTCAGAATCAAAACTCAGAAGTTTAACCTTTTCTTAATTTTTCAAAATACATCTTTTCTATTCTTTGTTACCATCATCTTTCTTAAGCATTAATGCATTCAAACCTATGGATGTGGTATTCGGATCACAATGCCTCATATTAGATACTGACATGCTCAGACTGCTGCTCGGGGGTTATGATAAGACATTATTAACAGTGCAGCCTTATAAAATGATTTGAAATGATCTTCTGAACATTATAGCTGAAAAATGTTTTGAATCTAGGTCTCAACAAGTCCAACTCTGTTTCTTCTACAATATGTAGGTTTTCTGATGCATATATGTCTTGTCTCCAAAGTTTTATGCTTTCATTTTGCTGAAAATCTCAAACAAGTAATGAGTACAGTTTGCTATGTATCATCAATAGAAAATATTGGTGCTATACATCTTAATATGACTTCCCTGTTGTTTTATCATCACTTACCTGGTGTGCCATTCATAGCACATAATGAGTACAACTTGATTTGGCAGAAGAGGTGGACACTGGCAAGAAGAATTAGTATACAGAGGAATTAGAGCATGAGGAATTGGAGTCAAAGATTTCAAAACATTTTTCACATCAACCATTGTGGTTATTTCATTGCAACTTCTTCTCTCCACGCTCTTTATTTTAGCATGAATAACTGCAAGAAGCAAAATAATGCAAAATAAGTACAGAGTAACATACTGAAGCCTGCATCTGAGAAACATATACAAAATTTCTCTACCTAATACATTTACTAGAATGTTCTGCTGAACTCTGATGCTTGTTATATAGCTGTGATGGCAAACCTATGGCACGTGTGCCCAAAGTGGCACATGGAGCCATGTTGCCTGGCAAGCATGGAGTCACCTGTTCGACTTCTGGGTTTCTGGCCTGCATGTGCGTGCGATGATCATCTGGCCTTTTTGCGTGTGGCAGTGCCAGAAACTGGAAGAGCTGGTCTTCCACTTTCCTGCATGAGCGTGTGCACCAGCCAGCTGATTGTTGTGCGCGCATGCATGCCAGAAACCCAGAAGAGTAGCTGGTTGGCGCGCCAGAAACCAGAAGTTCATTTTCGAGCATGCGCATGTCTCCTGGGCAGCTCCTCTTTCAGGCTGCAGCACAGATGAGTGTACGCTGGTGTGCTCCCTTTTCAGCACTCGGTGCCAAAAAGGTTTGCCATCACTGTTATATAGTTATGATTGTGTTGTGAGCCCACCAGAATGGCCACTTTTTTCCTTTTTTCTATTATATTCAGGCAGGCAGGCAGGAAAAACCATTAAAATACTGCTTATCTCATCTGTACTAAACATAATTAATCTTTATGTGAAACTGTTGCTTAGTTCAATGAAGGATAAGTATTTTTGAAAACAAATTAGATTTCCAGAACCAACATGTAGGAGTTGTTTTTCTAGTCATAAAAAAATATAACATGTAATATGTTTGAGCAAAGGGTCCAATTGAAAGTTGTTATAAATAGCACAAACATTTCCTTAGACCTACTAATATTTATAAGATAAGTATTTGAATTTGTTTCCTTACTAATACTTCTCTATAAGCCAAACTATTAGCCAGACAGTTGTTTGGACTAGCAAAAGTTGGGAATTTTAAAAAGCAGTTTGAGGACCAAATGCAAGGTAATGGTGATCAGCTTTAAAAATACTTCAACATTTTTACTCTGGAATATCTGTCCCAACTGATGTTGTGGTGACTGTTGATGCCATTGCCTAAGACACAGGAAAGTGATCATTTGCAAAACAGGGCTTTCTCAGAAGTGGCTTCAGCTATATGGAATGACCTTGATTGGGAAATGCAACAAGTCTACACTTTTGGCTCTTTGAGAACAACTGACATGAAATTAACTAGCTGCTTGGTAATCAAGTATCTTCCTTCATGGAGAGAGGAGAGTGATTGAAGTTGACACATAGAGGGAATCTGGGAAATAAGCAACAATTCCAATTCAGCCTCCCTCCTTGCTTTCTTGACACAGTGATAAGGAAAACTAGAGGCCTTATATTAAAGATAACTAGATAACCTGTGAAAAGTTTTATACCAAAACAGATCAACAGAATGACCATGGGAGTGCAAAAAAGCAGTTGGAATGGGAGTGACTTCTGACTTCCTGCCAGCTTTCCCACTGACTTTCCTTGTAGGACTTGTTCAGGGAGCATTGGAAATGTTAATCACATGACCATGGATGAACTGAAGCAGCTACAACTTTGCAAAATTTCAGTCCCATGGAAGTTTATGAGTCCCAGATTTTGGAGACATTCTGTATGTGTCCATTTAGTGTATACTGATTTAAAACTGATTCTCCTAACGATGCAGTTTCACCCAATTGAAGTTACAAGCAATCAGATAGGCGTAAGAATTTTAGAAGGCTATAGAAAGATTTCATTGAATAGTATAAAAGCACATAAGATCAACTACACTTTGGCTTCCGGTGGCTCCACGGACGACGAGGACGGTCTTTATAGACCGCCAGCCACCCGATCTGTAAAAACCGCCCTGACAGCGCTAAACAGCTGTCCAGCGGTTTGAAAAAACTCTCCTTCGGGCGAAGAAGGAGAGGAGAGTCGGAGGGGGTGGGTAGAGCTCCCCGAAAGTCACTGGATTAATTCCAGGGACTCGGAGGGTGAGAGCTCCCCAGTTCACCCCTCCCATTGCTCCGGATCGCTGGTGCCTTTGTTAATCAGAGCAAGACGTCTGCGTCCAATTCTGCTGGCAAACAGTGAGTTTTAATGATTTCTAACAAAGCAGACAGAGCGGAAGCAAGAGTGCAAGCTTTCTAAAAGAAACAGAACTTAACTCCGTGAATACATTGTTGCAAACGGAGCTCTCTTGAGCTGGAGGCTGGAGAGGAAGCCTTTGTTACGGGCGGAAGGGAAAGTGAAAGTTAAAGGGAAACTGCTTGTTAAGAGCCCTCTGCCTGAAGAGTAAACTGCTGAGGATTGAGTATAGCTTGAAGAGAGGACTGTTTATTTTGGAAAAACTTTGAAATATACTTTGTAAGACTGTTTATAAGATTTAGTGGCTGTAAAAGGAAAAAACCCTTTTTAAAAATAAAATGGCTGCTAAACAACTAAAGCCACCAACTTCTAAAGGGGGAGGAGGTTCCCCTGTAGTGACTCCAAAACAACAACTTCCGGCTGACACACAGTCACAAGACCTTAAAGAATTTATAATGGGTGCCCTGAACAATCAGACAGAAATGATGAAAGAATTCTCAGAGGAGTTAAAGAAAATTAAAAGTGTGGTGGAGGAAAAACATGATGAAATAAGAGATGACGTTGTTTTTGCAGTTTCAGGACTGGCTACTCATATGTTAAAGATTGAGGAGAGAGTACGGGAAATTGATGATGCTAACTTGGAGCTTGCAACTAAATTAGGAGAGGTTATGATACAAACAGAGAAAGTGGATGACGAAATGGTTATGTTACAATACAGATCAATGGAATTTGCCCTGAGGCTGAGAGGTTTGAAAGAAAAGAGTGGTGAAAATTTAAAAGATGTTTGTTCCAATGCTTTAGCAGAGCTGATTTTAGAAAGGCCAGAAGATGTGGCAATTCAAATGGACAAAATTTACAGGGTCAATTCCTGGCTGGCAAAACAAAAGCAGCTACCAAGAGATGTGGTGATTTATTTCACAACAAGGAGAGTTAGAAATGACATTCTGCAAGCTTCTTACAGAAACAAGATTAAAGTGGATGGACAAGAGCTGGTGGTCCTGAAAGAGCTTCCTCCTAAAATGTTAAGAGACAGAAAGCAGTTTGGTTTTTTGGTGAATGAACTAAAAAATCAGCAGCTTCAGTACAGATGGGATGTCCCATTTGGGATAATAGTGACATACGCTGGGCAAAGACATTGCTTAAATACAGTTGGAAAGGCAAAAGATTTTTATGCCAATGTTTTAAAGGCTGGAAGGCCACCCTTACCAGGGGGTGCTAGAAAGCAATTGGAACTTATACAACAAGAGAAAGATGGAGGGCAACCACAAACTTATGCTCAAGCACTAGCTGGAGGAGCCAATTTGGAAGAAGATCTACTGAGTGGGGGTCCACCACCAACCCTTGAGCCATTAACGATGATACAGCTACCAAAAGATCAACGATTGACAAGAGCTACCTACAAACAACATCTGGCACAACAGCCTCAAGATCCAATCCAACAAGTCCAAAAAACACAAGCAGTGGGAGGAGCTAGGCCGAAGTCTAAAATGGCGGAGGAGGTTCAGCTGATGCTCTCAAAGCTTGGATCGCCCAGAGATGGCAAATAAATTTTTATCTTGGAATGTCAACGGTTTAAATTCTCCACAAAAAAGAAAGAAAATATTTCACTATTTGAAGCAATTTCAGAACGATGTTATTTGTTTGCAAGAAACGCATATTAAATCCTCAGATCAAAAGTATTTGATAAATTCGAAATTAGGTACACATTTTGTGGCATCAGCACCAGAAAAGAAAAATGGCCTAGTTATATATGTTAAAAGAGGCTTAGTGGCCAATTTAATTGAGGTTGACACTCAAGGTAGATATATTGCAATTGAATTAACAACACAGAATGGGAAGCTGCTTGTAATTGGAGTATACGCACCTAATCAACAACAAGATAAATTTTATAAACTTTTACATACCAAAATATTACAATGGAATTATAGATCTTTACTTCTAATGGGTGATTGGAATGGGGTAATAAATACCCAGAAAGATAAAAAAAATCTTTCCAAGATTTCCATGCGTGCTAAGTTGCCTAAATCTTTTTTTGATATTTTGGAGGATATGGAGCTCAGAGATATTTGGAGAGAAAGGAACGTATTGGAGAGTGATTTTACTTTTTTTTCAGATAGGCATCAATCTTTTTCTAGGATTGACTTTATATTAATTACAAATGATCTTTTTTCTAGGGTGAAGAGTACGAAGATATGTCCAAGAACTTTAACTGATCACAGCCCGGTTTGGGTGGAATTAGAGCAGGAAAGAGGGGAAAGGAGGTCTTGGAGGTTAAATGAGAATTTATTTAGATATGAAGATAATCTGTGTGAGCTTAAAAAACAAATGAAAGAATTTTTTGTTAACAATATGAATAAAGGGACTTCGATGGAGATGGTATGGGATGCGTGTAAGGCATATATGAGAGGAACATTAATTTTTTTGAATAATAAATATAGATTAAAACAACAAAATAGATGGAAAGAGATAGAGGAGGAAATTAAAAAGAAAGAACAATTGCTTATAATTAACCCGGGAGATAAAAAGGCAAAAGATATGATTAATATTTTAAGAGAGCAATTTAATATGCTAATGGCTGGGCAAGTAGCAACTAGCATACAATATGCTAGACATAATACATTTTGTAATGCTAATAAACCTGGGAGATGGTTGGCTTACACGATGAGGAAAAAACAAAAATCACGTGTTATAGACAAGATAGAATTTAGAGGCAAAGAGATTTATCAACAGAATTTAATAAAAAAGGCTTTTTTGGAGTTCTATACAAAGTTATATGCTAAAGATGCAATTCAAGATGTTGATATTGATAGATATTTAAAGATGGAGATTCCTGAATTAACGTTGGAACAGAGGGAGAGATTGAATCAGCCAATAACTTCCGAGGAAATTGTTGGGGCAATTAAACAATTAAAAATAGGTAAGGCTCCGGGAACAGATGGACTAACAGCTGTCTATTATAAACATTTACAATCTGAAATGTTAGAACCACTCAAAATTTTATTTAATAAAATACAAGTAGGAGGAGGAGTACCACCCTCCTGGAAAACAGCCTTTGTCTCACTAATTCCAAAGGAGGACCAAAATTCTATTAAACCTGAGAATTTTAGGCCAATTTCACTTCTGAATACTGATTATAAGATTTTTGCTAAAATATTAGCTAATAGATTAATGCCAGTCATGCAACAAATAATTCACAATGATCAATCAGGGTTTATAAAAGGGAGACAAATGAGATATAATGTTAGACAAATTGTAAACTTATTGGAATATTTGGAAAAAAATAATCAGGTCCCTGCAGCGTTTATATTTTTGGATGCAGAGAAGGCATTTGATTGTTTGAACTGGCAATTTTTGTTTAAAATAATAGAGAAAATGCACTTTGGGGAATATTTCACACAATCAATTAGAGCGATATATCAGCAGCAAACAACACAAATTATAGTTAATGGAGGTTTAACAGAGGCTTTTAAAATTGAGAAAGGAACAAGGCAGGGGTGTCCTCTGTCCCTGCTACTATTCATTTTGACTTTGGAGGTACTATTGAACAAGATACGTGATTCAGAAAAATTGAAGGGTATTGTAATTAGACAACAAGATTATAGATTAAGAGCATTTGCAGATGACTTGGTTATTACCTTATCCCAACCTATAGAGTTGGCTCCATATATATTGGATATAATTGATCGATACGGGAAAGTATCAGGATTTAAAGTTAACTCACATAAGACAAAGATGATAGTTAAAAATATGACAATACTTGAAAGAGATAAACTAGCAAGATTAACAGATTTTGAAATAGTTAAAAAGGTTAAATATCTAGGGGTATATATAGCAGCTTCAAATACAAAATTATACAAAAACAATTATGAGGTTCTTTGGCAGAAGGTACAGAAGGATATGGAAAATTGGAAAAAAATTACAGTTGTCTTTATTGGGAAGAATTGCAGCAATTAAAATGAATATCTTACCTAGATTTTTATTTTTGTTCCAAATGATACCTGTGCTTAAGAAAGATGAAAATCTGAGAGAATGGCAGAAAGGTGTTAATACTTTTATTTGGGCTGGGAAAAAACCCAGAATAAAAATGAAAATTATACAAGATACACATGAAAGAGGGGGTCTTAAAATGCCTAATTTAAGATTATATTATGAAGCAGCGGTTTTATCACAAATTAGTGATTGGTTTAATTTAACTGAGGGGAGAATTTTGAATCTAGAAGGTTATGATTTGTTATATGGATGGCACGCCTATTTGTTATATGACAAAAAAGTGGATAAAGTATTTAAGGTTCATATATTAAGAAATGCTTTGTTAAGGGTTTGGAAAAAATATCAATATAAGTTAAATTATAAGATACCTTTATGGGCAAATCCTAGACATGCAATAGAAAACATAAGTATAGAACAAAAACAGGAGGTGATTACCTATAAAGAGCTTCTTATCATGGAAAGCGGGGTAATGTGTTTGAAATCTTTAGATATTCTGAGAGAAGAAGGTATAATTTATACATGGTTTCAGTATGGTCAACTTCAAGCTAGATGGAAGGAAGATCAAAAAACTGGCTTTGTGCAAAATGAGGAGAATTTGGTAAAACAAATTAGAGATCAAAAACAAATGCATATTAAAAGGTTATATAATGTTTTATTGGAAATAGATTCTGAGACGGAATTGGTTAAAGACTGTATGATTAAATGGGCACAAAATTTTCAAGAGCCAGTAATGATGGAGACTTGGGAAAAGATTTGGATTAGAAATGTGAAATTTACACAAGCACAAAATTTAAGAGAAAATTTTTATAAAATGTTTTATAGATGGCATTTAGATCCTAAAAAATTATCATGCATGTATTCTAATGTGCAAGCTAAATGTTGGAGATGTGACTGTGATGATGCAACTTATTATCATATATGGTGGACTTGTAGAAAAATCAAAGCATTTTGGATAAAGATTTGGTGGGTGATGCAGAATATTCTTAAAAAGAGACTGAAATTTACTCCACAGTTGTTTTTACTGGGTATAACTACGGACTGTACAGTTGTAGAGACTAAATTGATTTTGAACTTGATAACAGCAGCAAGATTGTTGGTAGCACAACACTGGAAGAAGGACTTTTTGCCTACTATTGATGATTGGATATTGAAAGTAACTAATTTAGCTGAAATGGCTAAAATTTCAGCATATCTGAAGGATCATACACAAGAAAGGTATATACAGGACTGGAGAAGATGGATTGATTATATACAAAATAAGTATCAAACCAAAAAATATCAAATAGCTTATGAATGATTTCTTTTATTTGTATAAGCGTTATATAAGTGATATTAGAAGTATTATGTTTAAGAAATAGGATTTTATATATGGGGGGTTAAGAATTTTTTTCTTAGGGGGGGTTAGTTTAATGATTGGTTATGCAATTTAGTTTATTGTTAAAGGTCAATAGAAATACCTTGTGTTCTGCTCTGGGAAGTCGGGGAGGGGGAGGGGGGTTGGGAGGGGGGGTTGTGGGGAAATTGTGTTTGTTTTAAAACTTTTTTAATAAAAAAAAAAGATCAACTACACTTTCTCTTCTTTTTTTTAAATAAAGTGGTAGATCTCTGCTTTGATATATCTTAAGTAAGCTTATTGGTGTCAAGGGAGGGGGGGGAGATGACAGGCATGTAAAGAACCCAAGATATATATTGAAGAGAAATGGTTGCAAAGTGGGCTAGCTAATGATCAGTAGAAAAGAAGTGTATCTCTTTTCTATCTTGCCAGAATGCACTTCTGGACACAGGAAGAGCAGTCAACTGACCTTAGATCTGAAATAATGCATAACAAGACATTGCAGATGTTACATAACTGGAAGCAGCAAAGAAAATGTCAATTTAAAGGGAGAAAATACTATTATGACTGGCTGTTCCTCCCAAAGAAGTGTGAAGTCCTTCCTTCCTCCCTCCCTCCATTAAATTCAGATGAGAGTATATATTTTTTCTCACTTCCAACCACATTATTATGTTTCCTTCTAAATAACAATTTAAAAACAACTTCCCTCTCAAAAACCCATTGATCAAAGATGAACCATCTTAAATATATAAAAGATAAAAGAAATTCCAAATTTAAGGAAAATCAAAACAAAATACAAAACCAAGGCAGCACAATTTTATTGTGTGGGGGGGGGGGGGGTTTGTTTTTTTTACTCTCATACTCTCTGGATGGATAATTAACGAGTCCGATTTCACCGCGCTGAAAATCCCAGAACTTTCCTTCTCTCTAGGAAGGGGAGGAAGAAAGAGGAAATCGAGATCATAAAGATTTTGCCTGTCTGTAATCATCATCATCATCAGTTGTGGTCTTTCTTACCATAGCTGTAGTTTTTGTTCAGATAAATAGCCAGCGTGGGTTTTATCTTCTTGCATTTGCAACGATCTATAAATTTTATTAGAAGCAGAAGAAAAGAAAGAGGTAAATTCCCCTCGCCGCCAACTTCCGAGCAGAAGTGAGCCCCCCGAAATAAGGAGAGAGAAAAGACACTTACTGGGCATCTTACACTCTGGGAGCATCGGCTTCTCGTGGAGCATCACGTCTTCCGAAAAGTCAATCCACTTCACCTCCTCTTAACGAGAAAACAGGCACCCCAAAGGGGCAATGAGAGGTTGAAAGGCGAAGAAGAGACAGGAGGGAACAGGGAAAGCTTTCCTCTCATCTCTCAAGAGACTTTACAGCTTCCGTCCGACTCCAAAGCCCTTCCACTTGCGTTCACACATACACAGGTTTACCTCCGCCCTGCACAAGGTGCACCGACTGGAGAGAGAGCTGACAAGCTGGCCAGCCCAGTTCTTGCCACTTTCGGAACAGGCCGGCTCGGAAGCGGGTCGATTTTTCTCTCCCAGCTGTCCGGGTGAAAGTGAGCCTGAAATCTGACCTGACCTGCGATGACCATCTAGGAAGCAGCAGTGGGGAAAGGATTGCGGAGGTTCCCTCTCGCCTTGGTCGAAGTTTCCTCTTACTAAAGAGGCCTGGACCCAGGGCGAAATCGTGGGATGGATTCTGAAGCTGTCTGAAAAAGCTACAGGCCACAATTAGAGGCAGAGGACTGGTTGGGTTTCCCTCGAATATCTCAAGGGCTGGCTGACCCCGAACCAACCACTTCTTCGGAACGAGCACTTCCGAAAGCTGGTTGAAGCGGTGTGGGCGAAGAGCTCCTTGAGGCACCTCTCTCTGGTGGAAAGTTCCCCCGAATCCCGAAACTCTCCCCGCTCCTGAATACCCTATCCCACCCACAGCAGTGCCATTCCCTTGCTATATACTCCCAACTTCCAAGCCAACCAACCAAAAGAGCTTCTCCTGGGAAGCTGGATTATAGCGTTGACCTGGGACCGCTTGGAGTTTAATCTGCCTCTTCGCCTCACCTGCCGGGAGATCAGTAACGATGGCCTCTGGGGCTATGCACACGCCTCGATCATAGACAGGCAACTCCTCGCAGGATAAGCCCTCGGGCCAGCTGTGGTTGTATCTCTTCATGAGGGGCGCACAGCCGTCGCGGGCTCGCTGGCACAGAGACTTGCAGGGCTTGATGGGGTCGTGGAGAAATTCCACGGTGCAAATGGGGGCGAACATAGCGCATAGAAAGAAGCTAAGCACCGGGCTGCAGCCGAAGTCTACCAGCTCCTGGTACTGCTCAATGGCGAGGACTGCGTTCTCCTGGGTGCTGTGGTGCAAGTGATTAGGCATCCGCGTCATGTTCCAGGGCATATATCGGCACATCTGGATGCGCACCGGCTCGCAGGGGGACCCAGGCAGCAGAGCCGCAACCGTCCGGCAAAGCCAGGGCGACAGCCAGGCCAGGAGGACTAGCAGGACCATCTTCTCGACGGAGCGGACGCCGCCTCACCGGTTGCCTGCACCTTCGTGCTCGGCGATGGACAGTCCGCCGGGAGGGAAAGACGCCAAGGAAGTGCCTGCTCTCCTCCAAAGGGTGCGAAGCTGGGTCGTCGAGACTCGGTCATGAGGCAACCATAGACAGTTGAGGGGCTGGGGGCACTATTTATAACCGATTTTGCCAGTGACGTATGAACTGGCTTCTGTTTGCCGGCCCTCCTTACTGGAAGGGAGGGGGGAATCTTGTGCGCGGGCTGGACGTCTTCTGAGGCAAGTCCCGACTGTACCTCATTTCTACTGAATTTCCACTTGAAGCGCGCGCTCTCTCTCTCTCCAATTATCCAAGTACATTGAAAAGAAGCAGTGTGATTGTGTAGAAGAGGGGGTGGGGAGGGGGGTGAGTTGGAGGCGGGAGTTTATTTAAAAACTACAGGTGCAGAATACTGTAGTTTTTTGGATAGGAGAAGCCAGGAGCATTAATCTGACAAGCTTTCCCTTGTCCAGAGAAGAAAGATTATTTTCAATACAAATAAGTAAATTCCTCATCTGGGATTAGAAAAGAAGGAAATAGTTAAAGACAACTTTAACAAATGTTTGTTCAACTTTTGAAACTAAGCATTCTCCATTAATTAAACCCATTAAAATAAAATTCTTAGGAATAGTTTAAAAATCCAGCATAGAAACAACCCCCTTTCCCACCCCATTACTTTAGCAAATTCTTGACTGTACTAATATCAATGAATAAGATGTCCAGAAAATGTGGAGCCTTCTTTAAAAGATGAACTATCAGTTATATGCCCTCCCTTGCTATATTCTTCCACTTATTTGTAAAACAAATGTTTGTAGTATCAATTCTTAGCACTTGCATAAGTTCTAATAACAATGTTACATTTTCTGCCATTCAGTCTAACACTCTAAATGTCTTTAATTCAGAATGTTTAAAACTTAAAACAGAATAGTATCACAATAACTGGTCAGAGATAGATTAATTTGTGGCATTACATTTTTCCTGTTACTCTGGATGACTTTGTGTTTTATATAAAGATAAAATAATATCTTTCAAGATGATATCTTTCAAGTTGTGTATCTTGGTAACTTTGTATCATGAGTTTGGAGTTGTTTGGTGGACAAGAACTGCAATATTTTGCTGTTGAACTCCCTTGATGGTCTCCTATCCAAAGATTAACTATACCTGATTGTCTTATTTATCTTCCAAGTCAAATAAAGTTGATCAAATAAAAAAAAAAAGCCCAAGTATAGGTTCTATTATCACAACTGTGATGCTGATATAGTAGTGTGCTGATATCCCTATCCCCTTAGCCATGCTAAGAATTGCTAAGTTCTCATATTCCTCTTTTATTAAGAACCTAACAACTGTCCTATACCAGACCAAAATCAAAGGAACTGAAGATTGGTTGATTGACTGATGGTTATATTTGGTCAATGATATATTTTGTTTACCAACAGTACCATCCCATTTTATTTGATACCAACCTCTGGCAATTAGAAACAACTCAACAGAATAGCATCCATTCAGGTATGTTTATTGAACGTACAGGTGAAACTCGAAAAATTAGAATATCGTGCAAAAGTTCATTTATTTCAGTAATGCAACTTAATGAATGAAACTAATATGTGAGATAGACTCATTACATGCAAAGCGAGATAGTTCAAGCCTTGATTTGTCATACTTTTGATGATTATGGCTTACAGCTCATGAAAACCCCAAATTCACAATCTCAGAAAACTAGATTATTACATGAAATCAATAAAACAAGGATTGTACATAGAACAATATCGGACCGCTGAAAAGTATAAGCATGCATATGTACTCAGTACTTGGTTTGGGCCCCTTTTGCATCAATTACTGTCTCAATGCGGCGTGGCATGGATGCTATCAGCCTGTGGCACTGCTGAGGTGTTATGGAAGACCAGGATGCTTCAATAGCGGCCTTCAGCTCTTCTGCATTGTTCGGTCTCATGTCTCTCATCTTTCTCTTGGCAATGCCGCATAGATTCTCTATGGGGTTCAGGTCAGGCGAGTTTGCTGGCCAATCAAGCACAGTAATCCCATGGTCATTGAACCAGGTTTTGGTACTTTTGGCAGTGTGGGCAGGTTCCCAGTCCTGATGGAAAATGAAGTCAGCATCCCCATGAAGCTCGTCTGCGGAAGGAAGCATGAAGTGCTCCAAAATCTCCTGGTAGACGGCTGCGTTGACCCTGGACTTAATGAAGCACAGTGGACCAACACCAGCAGATGACATGGCTCCCCAAATCAACAGAGACTGTGGAAACGTCACACTGGACTTCAAGCATCTTGCAGTGTGCCTCTCCATTCTTCCTCCAGACTCTGGGTCCTTGGTTTCCAAATAAGATTCAAAAGTTGCTCTCATCAGAAAAGAGGACTTTGGACCACTGAGCAACAGACAAGTTCTTTTCAGCAGATAACTGCCCAGCCTCCCTGTTTAGGGTGACCCATTCCCTGCTTCATCTGGGAGCGAGGGAAGACCCCTTACAGGGTAGAGCTGAGGACTTTGTGCAATATCTGCATGACAAAATCGCTCAAATTTGGGAAGGATTGGACTCTGACTGGGTAGTTTCAGGCGGGGTGACTGAGGCGGGCCTTGAGAATGTTATCTGGGGGGAGTTTGATCCGGTGGCTCCCGAGGACGTGGACAGGATTCTGGGCAGGCTTAGCGCAGCCACATGTTTATTGGACCCGTGTCCCTCCTGGTTGGTGCTGGCCTCCCGGGAGGTTACATGAGGCTGGCTCCAGGGCATTATTAACGCTTCTTTGAGTGAGGGTTACTTCCCCGCCACCTTGAAGGAGGCGGTGGTGAGGCCCCTCCTCAAGAAGCCTTCCCTGGACCCGGCTGTATTAGCGAATTATTGTCCAGTCTCCAACCTTCGCTTTGTGGCGAAGGTTGTTGAGAGTGTGGTGGCGTGACAGCTCCCCCGGTACCTGGAGGAAACAGTCTATCTAGATCCGTTCCAGTTGGGTTTCAGGCCTGGGCACAGCACGGAAATGGCATTGGTCGCGTTGATCTCTGGAGGGCTCGGGATGGGCTGCTCTTCTGTCCTGGTCCTATTAGATCTCTCAGCGGCTTTTGATACCATCGACCATGGTATCATGCTGCTCCAATTGGAAGGGTTGGGGCTAGGGGGCACCGTGTTGCAGTGGTTCTCCTCCTTCCTCTCTGACCGGTGGCAGTTTGTGTTGACGGGGGGGGACAGAGATCGACCTCGAGGCGCCTTGTGTGTGGGGTGCCGCAAGGGCCGGTTCTCTCGCCCCTTCCGTTCAACATTTGTGAAGCCGCTGGGTGAGATCATCTGTGGTTTCGGGGTGAAGTGCCATCTGTACGCTGATGACACTCAGCTGTACATCTCCACCCCGGACAACCCCACCGATGCCCTTGATGTGATGTCCTGGTGCCTGGAGGCCGTGCGGATCTGGATGGGAAGAAACAGGCTCAGGCTCAACCCATCCAAGACCGAGTGGCTGTGGCTTCCAGCATCCCGATATAGTCAGTTGGTGCCATCGCTGACTATTGGGGGTGAGTTGTTGGCCCCCACAGAGAGGGCTCGCAACTTGGGTGTCCTCCTGGATACACGGCTGTCTTTAGAAGAGCATATGATGGCTGTGCCCAGGGGGGCTTTTTATCAAGTTCACCTGATCCGCCAGTTGTGCCCCTTTCTGGATCGGGATGCCTTACGCACGGTCACTCATGCTCTTGTCACGTCCCCCCTGGACTACTGCAATGCTCTCTATATGGGGCTCCCCTTGAAGAGCACCCAGAGGCTCCAACTGGTCCAGAATGTGGCCGCGTGGGTGGTTATGGGAGCGACTCGGCTCCCATAACCGGGTATTTACGAGACTGCCTTCTGCACCGATAGCCTCCCACTGACCAGTACGCTCCCAGAGAGGGGCTCCTCAGGGTGCCGTTGGTTAAACAATGTTGACTGGCGGCCCCCAGGGGGAGAGCCTTCTCTGTGGGGGCACCTACCCTCTGGAATGAGCTGCCCCCAGAGATATGGCGGATCCCGGATCCATGCATCTTTCGTCGCGCCCTAAAGACGTTTTTATTTCAACAAGCCGGGCTGGCCTAACTCTTTTAAATTGTTTTAATCTTTAAACTGTTTAATTATGGGTTTTAATACAGGGGTGTTTTTTAATTGTGAGCCAAATTAATTTAATCGGGTTTTAATATTGTTTTTAAATTTTGTATTTCTGTGTTTTATCTGTTGGCTGTTCACCGCCCCGAGTCCTTCAGGAGAAGGGCAGTATATAAATATAAACAATAATAAATAATAATAATAAAATGTGAAAAGGGTCTTATTAGTATCATTGTTAGCAAATGGACAATCACCAGAATACATATGCACTTCTAATGTTTGTGAAACATGATCACATTATGGAATGGATTCAAATGTAATCATATGGATTTTTTCTTCTTCTGTTCAATTTTGTCATATTCTCAGAGATTGCCCAGATAACTCCCTATCTTGGCAAGGTTTTTCAGAAATGGTTTGTCATTGTCTCCTTCCTAGGGCTGAGAGAAAGCAACTTGTTAAAGGTGACACAGCTGGCTTTTTGCCTAAGGCAAAACTAGAATTCAATATCTCGTTTTCAGTCTGACACCTTAACTGCTACACCAAACAGGCTCTAATCACATGTAGAGGCAGTGAAATAAAGACTCCTAGAAAATAAATCAAGGAGGTAAGTCAATGTTAGGATCCAATTCTATATACTGCATTGCTTGAGTTAGAATTGAATGACCACTATAATTTCTAGCAAAAAAATGCTGCCATTTAAAGGAACATCTAAAAGAAACCAAATTCTGCAGACAGAAGACTTCAGCCTGCTTAATAATGCTACCTACGACCACAATCGTGAGTATGTAACAACTGACGAATCGACTATGCTTCCTGCTTAGGGCATCGATACCATTGCCACGAAATCCTGCAAGAGCACCGCCGGCGACCTGCAGCCATTATGATCCAGCTGGGAAAACCAAAAGACCCTCGTTATTTTCCCCGCGCAGAAGCGCAGAGCTCCTTGGGTAAAGATCGAAACGTTTGGCAGTAGCTCCCTCTGCAGTTCCTGTCCAATCGCGGCGTGACGAGTAGCAGCATTTCCTTTCGCAGCCTTCTAAATCCCACACTACTGCTATTGACTATCGGGGGCACGACGTTGGAGGAAAGGAGAACCGTTCACGAGCGGATTCTACCGAGTCTGCAGCATTAAACGCGCGGAGCGCAAGAGAACGTGGGCTAAGGGATGGCCCCAAAAACCGTCGCTGTCAGCCTCAGCTTGCTGATCATTAGCATTTTCTTACGCTTGACCTGGGCATTAAGGGCCCAACCGGTCGTCCCCTGCCAGGCCCCGCTGCAATGGGAGGGCCGCACGGTGGAGTACGACCACAGCAGCGGCAGGAATATCCGTGCCATGGTGTCTTACGACAGTCCTAACCAGCGCCTCCGTGTTCTGGAAGAAAAAAAGAGGTTCGTCCCTTGCAAAAAGTAAGTTTCCCCTTCCTATGTCTCCGCTAGCGTTTGAGAAATGTCACATTCGCGGAAAAACTGCTTTGCTTTTTTCCCAGCCTTGCCTTTCACGAAGCGGGAAATAAATTTTCTACCCAATCCCATACGCCGCTTGGTTGTATCTGATCGGGGAAACGTGCAAAACTTGCACACGCGCATATTGAATCATCCGCTAATAGAGGAGGGAGTTTCATGCAGGCCGGTAACAAATCCAGCTTGCTTTTCCGGTGCGGTTGTGGTTTGGTGCAGCTCCGAAGATGCCCAACCCTGAAATGTTCATTTATGAGATCGCATAGGGTGCCACTTGACTTCATTCCCAACAAGCTGAATTCAGCTAACAGGTGAATCACAGCGGTACGATTCAAGAGAGCCCCACGCAGTAGTGCCCCAGATAATGTTTTTTTTTTATTATTATTATTATTATTATTTATTATTATTATTATTATTATTATTATTATTATTATTATTATTATTTATTAGTTTTGCGGGCGGGGGGAGCGCAAGAAGCAGCGGACAAACATAGGGCGAAGGAAGATGCAGACCACCCCACCACGCCCCAGTTCAATTCCATATGTTTGGGTTAGTATAATCACATAAAAAGAATCAATTTGCACGTTTAACTGGGTTATGATTATGCTGTGTAGAATTCCAGCCTCTTTAAAGATACTTAATTCTCTTCCCCAAGTCTTTATTTGGGCCCTTATTGCGCTACCTAGTATTTGGTTTGCTTGTACATTTGTACACGTAATTTTGGCTTCATAATATTCAGTTCCAACCTTTCAAAAACTAAAAAACAGAGGACAGACAGATATCAAGGTCGGCAACACAACAAACAAACAAACAATACATTTTTTCTGAACAGAGTATTGGCCGAAGTCAAAATTTTTACAACTTTTAGTTTTCTCCAGCACAATTTATATATTTCACTTTTTGCCATAACATTCTTTCTCTCTATTTTATTTTCCTTCTGTTTCCTTTACCAAATGCATGGTGAAGAACTGGCATAAGAATATGGTATGCACACATACCTACATTCATCCTTATCATCACCACAAATGTTTTCATTTAATGTCCAGAACAATAAAAGAGTTGGACAATAAAATTGCATGATAGCAATGTAGCATAATTAAAAAATTATTGAATTATTGAACTGTATTATTCAGTTATAATTCTAATGACATAAGTAAGCACATATTCTTTGTTACAAGAATAGCATTTATTCTTGTAATTTGTTTTCATCTTTCACTGCTCGTTACAAAATGTAGCTACATTATATGTAATGTTAGGCATGTGGTTTGAAAAGAGAAAATCAAGATAAAATATAACAAAAAAGTTCCAGCATGGGAAATATGAAAAATTGCTGGCTACCTTTATAATAGGAGCAATACAACAAAACATGCTGGTGGTTTCTATTGAATTTGAATTGTAGGGAAAAGAGGGAAACTTTTCTGAAAAAGGAACTTTGGCTAAGCTATCACTGTTAGCAGTTGTAGGCAAAATATCATGTCATGGTTAAATATATACCTTAGATCACATCTAGATATTGTGACTGCTTCTTAATATGATGTGCAAACAAGTTCATTCAGTTCTGCCCTAAGTAATCTCTGAAACTTTTGTTTTTATTCTAAAGAAAAGAGCTAGTCAAAGAGGCAAGTTTTTTGAGTTCTGGTAGATATCAGAACCCTAAAATTGTTCTGTCAAAATCAGAGATGTCAATTCAGCTGAGGAGAAATGATACAGTGCATTTAGTACAAATTTAGATACACAAAAAAATGGTTGTAGGAACTTATTGTTGATGTTTTATAGAGATTTGTGCATTAATTTTAGTTAATTTGGAAAGCGCACAAATTGGAAATCAATTAACTGAAACATTAATAGCAGTTTACAATAGAAAATTATGATCTCAAAAGGCATTCATGTTTATAAATAATGGAATAATTAAGCTGTAACAATCCTTAATGTTCAAAAAAACAATGTATGTATTGTATGTATCATATGTATTTTACTCATGCAAATAAACTTTTAAAGCATGGAAAAGTAATAATTCACTTACAGAAGAGAAAAAAGTTTAATATACTCTTTATATCTAACACATTAATACAATTCCCATTGTGTTAATTAGAGTTTTTGGCAATAGCCCAGCAGGATGTGAGGTAATGAAACACACTTTCAAAAGTAATTTCTGCGTTCAGATAATGACATTCAGGTCCAAGTTTAATTATATTTCTATAGCATTTTGTCTCATAATTGCTGCCACAGAATTAAATCAAATCAAGTTATGTACAAAATGATGGCTTTTTTATAAAATAAGTATACCTATATGTCGTTCCTTGCATGTGAGAATTGAGATGTTTTGGTAGACAAGAAGAGTCAATGGTGATTAGAGAGGTCTTTTTTTTTACACATGGAGAAAATGACATACTTGCATTTTTTCTTCTCAACTGATAAGAAGCAAACACTGTTTAAAGTAGTTAAGCTTTTAATAGTGAAAAAGTGAAAAAGTTATTTTTCTTAAACTATTTGTTTAAGGCTAAGTTACAAAAAAATTGTTTCCCATAAAAAGAAATCAAACAAAAATATAGCACATAGAATAATAATCTCTGTTAACTAATTAAAGTCTTAGCCCAAGAACTAAATATACTGTGTGCCCAATTATTAGGCAAGTTGTATGTTGGAGGATTAATTTTATTATTGAACAACTAGTGCCCTCGGTCAATCCAAAATGTTAATAAACCTCAAAACTGAATATTCTCCTGCATAAAAATCATAGTGGTCTTGAAAGACGCAGACTTTTTCCTGTACCTCTGCTTGAAGAAAGTGTCTTCTAAAAACTGGCAGTAGGTTTGGGAGTTGATTTTGAGTCCATCTTCAACCCGAAAAGATCAACTAGCTCATCTTTAACAATACCAGCCCATACCAGTACCCCACCTCCACCTTGCTGGCATCTGAGTCGAAGTGGAGCTCTGTGCCCATTACTGATCCAGCCACGAGCCCATCCATCTGGTCCATCAAAAGTCACTCTCATCTCATCAGTCCATAAAACCCTTGAAAAATCTGTCTTCAGATATTGCTTGGCCCGGTATTGCCGTTTCAACTTGTTCACTGGTGGTCGGGTTTCAGCCTCCCTTAACTTGGCCTGTCTCTGCGCACTTGTACTTCTGGGCACTCCAGGTAGGTTGCAGTTCTGGAATAGGACAGCACTGGGGGATAATGGGTTCCTGATAGCTTCATATTTGATTCTTCTCAAATCTTTGGCAGTTAATGTATGTCTTTTTTTCCTCAACACGTTTTTTGCGACCCCGTTGATTATTTGCAACAAAATGTTTGATGGTTCTGTGATCATGCCCCAATATCTTAACAACATCAAGAGTGCTGCATCCCTCTGAAAGACTTTTTAACAATTGTTGACTTCAGAGTCAGTTAAATTTCATTTTGGCCCATTTTTCCTGAGGAAAAGAAGCTGCCTAATAATTATGCACACCTTGATATAGGGTGTTGATCTCCTTAGACCACACTCTCCCTCATTACACAAATACACATCACCTGATATGTTTGTATCCAATAAGCATTCAAGTTTATACAGCTTGGAGGTGCCAAATATGCATAAAAATGATGGTCAAAATACTCACTTGCCTAATAATTGTGCACACAGTGTATGCTTTTAACCATATCTGTACCAACTATATATTCTTTGAGCAATTTCCATCTTGGAACTGACTCTGAATTACAAATCCCATCAATAAACATGTGGGAAAAACATACAGGCAATTACTTACAGTTACTTTATTACTATTTATTCATGAGATTTGCTTTTATTAATTTATTTTGAATGGTTTCACATTCATCATATTTACAATAGAAGCATTGTTTTTTTCCCTTCCAACTATGTCCAATAATTAATAGAATGGCATCCGCCAGTGGAGTCAATACAGTTGGGAGAAGAGTAGTCATGTTCTGTATGCAGAAGTTCACTTGTCATGTAGTCCATTGGTAGGATAAATTTTGATAATATACAGTGACTCAGCTCTGAAGTAGGACTACATCTGGCACTACTTATAATTCTGCCTATTTGAAAAGGCTATTTTGATTATTCTCTTCGGGTTCCTTAACATCATTTGACCTTCAGTTGATTCAGAGAGGACAAGAACTTGTCCAGCCAAGATTCACATAATATTGCCTTAGGATTGCTGTCCAAAGAAAGCAGCATTGATTTTCATTAAGGACATTTGCATTGAATTTCAACTATTAACCTTTACTGAATAACTTCATTTATTGATTTAGTCACCGTCTTCCTTGTATCAGTGTGACTGTCATCCCTCACTTCTTTCCAGAGATAATGTGAGATATCCTCTTTCTGTCTGTCCAATTTCAACTGTCCAAGAATGAAGAAGAGCCCTTGTAGTGCTGTGAGTTTTTTGTTTTGTTTTTTTACTTTTTCAATTTGGATCAACCACAGGTTCATCGCTGGGGTAGAAAACTAACACTACATTTTAGTACATTTATATTGGACATAGAAAGAATTATAATCAAAGGAAATACAATGAAATTAATAAAATGTAACAAAAAGCAAAATCAAGAGTAATAGGGTAACTTTTCTATGCTTTTGTAGACAGTTGTTAAAAGTTTGTTGTTTTATTAAATTAATTAAATTAATAGCTGTGACCTTTTCATATATAGTATAATATCAGTGTTGGAGCAATTATGCAGCTAAGGATTGAAGTGTTTGTCTAACTTTCTACACAGTTGATGGAAAACTGGATATATCAGTTATGTGGCACTAGTTTCAGTATATCATTTGGCATATAACTAAATAATTACATAAAAGTAAGAATTGACTCGTGGTTAATTCTTACTTTAAGAATTTAAAAGCATAAGACTTTAAAAGTATAAAGGAATGCTAGCATCTTTACCAACAAGAAATTAAGGAAACAGTGTTTGGCTATTGATAAAAACATTTTGAGTTATAAAAAGAATATATA